CCGCTCCAAAAGAAACGGCGTTCAAACGGCGCAGGACGCGTTTCCGCTGCTCTATTCCACCTTCAACACCGAGTACGTCCCAGTCTTTGGTCCGGCGAGCACCAGCCCCAAGACCCTCGGCGAACTGGTCGGTTCCCCCTTGGCCCGGGGAAACGAAAGGCAGGTCCGATGGTCTCCTAGACTGGTGGATGAAATAGATCCCCAGAACATGGAGACGGTTTGTCTCTTCACTTCTTTGGGGGTTGGATGAATCAAAATTCTACATGACTCCAGATGACCCGCGAAGTCCCAAGACCCATGGGAGTTTGACCTGGTGCAAAACACACATTTCTGTCAACCCATGTTTCGGTATGACCAGATCCAGTAAAATGAGATCTTTGAGCCATAGCGACCGCTATCCTTGTGCATGTGCTTGTGTGTTTGCACATACAAAAAACAATCCAATTTGTTCAATCCATTTATTCCCTCCCACATCTCCCACATCTCTTCGTTTGGCTCTTGGGATCATCGCCCAAAAACCCTCCTGGCTGCTCCTGGCGCCCAATGGGCCAATGCACCGGCTTGAAGGTGCGATTGGCCAATTCAGTCCACATTATACTTGGAACATTTTTATGTAATGGTTGCTCCGGAGGATGCCAGTGCAGTATACCTCAAAACAAAGCGTGCGCCCCCCACAAACAGGCCTTGCGTACTTAAAGGGTGTGGTTCTTGCAGTGGAAGAGCCTTGCATGTTGGTGGCATCGAGTGGACATATCTGCTAATTATCGTTTTGAATGTGGATAGAAATGTCCTTTGTGCCACTTTGACCCACAGCCAACAACCCCACACGACCAACCCATGCCCAAGACCACAACGGCGGGACCGGTATAGGCTGGTATAGGCTTTGACAGTGACCCCATCACGTCCCTGCCACCCTGCCAGACCTCATGACCACGACCATTCCATGCAGCATCATAGTCTCATAGAGTTTCCCATGCCCAACAGCCAAGAATTATGGCCACACAAGTATGGCCACACAGCGAAGCGGTCGTCTGTTGGGCAGCTGGTAGATCTTTTTTTTGGGTGACCTAAATGAATCCTGAGTCGTCCTTTTTTTGCTGTCGTGAGGATCCCTTTCAAATACTACACGTCCCTCTATTGGTTCGTGCTGATGGCCTTCGGGGACACGATCAGCCGCCGTGTTCCCCAGTTCTTGCACCTGCGCACCTGGCGCTCCTGGGGCCTCTGGATTGTGATCTCGATCATTTTGTGCATCGGAGGTGGAGCGGAGCTGGGACTAGCAAAAGTGGAGGGCTTGGATGGATGTGAAGATGTAGTAGTACTAGTAGTAGTAGTAGTAGTAGTAGTAGTAGTAGT